CTTTATACCATCGCTGTTTAAGGAAGTAAATGATGTCTAATAAACGCTGAATAATCAAAAATTTGATCGAATAAGCTCTGTTACAACTCTTTTTAGTCGAATAAAAGCTTCTCGACATACCTTATTCAACACCAAATATTTCGATGTTGTGGTTGAATAAATTCTCCAGATTTGTGTGAACAAAGCCTGAACAGAAGTTATTATTAAAAATAGTACAATTATTATTAAGCATGAAGTTGAATAAAATCGTCAAGAAGTCGTTTCTTCAATAGGCAATTGTTTGTTGGGAATGTACTTAATTTATGCGACTTGTAATTAAAGCTGAAATATGTACTTAAAAGTAATTAAATCAAAAAAATTCCGACGCTCGTAATTAAAGTAATTAATCATGTAGTTAATTGTAATTATTGTACTTAAAAAAGGCTTGCGTAGGAGTTAAAGGTTATTGCGTGCCCCTCGGAAATAGCTTGGGACTGCTTGGGACCGTTGTTCTGGTACTGAGTGAGCCAAAAATAATAATGATTTTCTTCGGGACCCAGTGGTCTTAGAGTTACCTTTATGCTAATAGTACGTTCAGACTACAGAGTTATAACATGTTATAGCGCTATCTTGATGGTGGTTTCTGTGTTGCAATTAGTTGACAACCGTTATAACATGTTATAACTCTCCAGTCTGGACAGCGTTTAAGACTCTAAGACTAGTAGCAACCGGTGGAAACTAACGATTTTAAATTGGATCACTACTTGACTAGCCTATGTGTCCCAAGCAAATCGATTAACGTACCCCATTCTAGTACTACACAATGTTTGTTTTGATTCGCTGTGAAAGTTTGACAGATAAAATGAGGGGTTCGTGGATTTTCCTATGTTTCGAGGGGTGCATCGATTAGCTTGGGACCGAAGATAGTACCAGAGCTGAGTCAAAAAGTTGAGCTCGTTTCTTCGGGACCAACTAGTCTTAAAGTTACCTCTATGGATGAACCCTTATCAGGACAAGAAACATTTCCTAAAACCTTCGTTGATAGCATCTAGAAACGGCTCCGAAATCATGCAGAACTTCCTCCACCGAGATGGCAAGACCAATCCATTGAAACTTCCGCTGGCAGCATCCAAAATCACCGAAATCACGCGGAAGCTCGTCCGCCAAGAACGAGAGAAAATTCCGTCGATATTCCCTGGACCTTCCGTCAGCAGCATCCAATCTCTTCACTGGTATCGTGCAGAACTTCCTTTGCCGACAATGCGTGGATGCTCCGTCGAAACACCCTGGAAACCTCCGTTAGCAGCATCTCAATTCTCGAGGGGAGTTTTCTCGCGTTTACGGCGGAGAGGGTTCTGGAACATTTCGACGGAGTTTTCTCGTGTTTGCGGTGGAGGAAATTCTGTACGATTCCGGTGCTGCCATCGGAGGTTCCAGAGAATTTCCACACGATTTCGGTGGAGATTTTTGATGCTGCCAACGGGAATTACGACGGATTATTTCCGCGTTCGTGGAAATTTTCTCACGTCAGGAGTCTGGATTTGAGTGAACCGAGGCGAACAAAACAGGACAAAACCTTTCATGTATGTATGCATGCATTGGTAGGAGCTGTCACCATACAATGCCATACCATACCATACAATGTACAAATTCATGCATTGGTAGGCATAGAAAGCTTCCAATTAATAACCATGGTAATGCATTAAAAACACTCACTTGAGAGCTGGCAAAACAATCGCTTCAGAAGCATAAAAAGCCTTCACATCTTTGAAAGCGTTTTTAAACAGTGTAACGCACGACTCGAAGCCTGCAAGATCTCGACCACCGAATACGCTTCCTGTCTCTAAAACGAGTGGCTTAAGCGCCACCTCCGGAGAGGACCACTCGTCAAGGTTTGATTTGCCCGGCAAGAAACCCAACCTCAGGCGGGTTTATGAATGGAAGAGACCGAAATTTAGTTTGAGAGCGATTCAGCAGACTGAAATCCCATGAGGGATTGAGATCCTCACAAACGGTACTAAGCGAAAGTTGATGCTAACCGTCGTTCTACCGTAAAACAACAACCCCACTCACATTTATCATCACTGGAGAAACTTTCCCTTTCAGATTTCCTCCCCCGAACCTGACACGTGAGTGCGGAGACTGTTTTCCCAGGCAGTCCAACCTGGAGTAAATTCAACTACAACAAAAAAATAACGCAAAATAGAACGACCAAAACGTGAAGAATCTAGCCAACAAAAATTAACATTACGGAGAAAGCTTTTGCTCTACGAAAACAACATTTATTTCAGGGCTAAATAAATAACTGAAATCATTATATGATTTATTCGTGTTCCTAACCTATGTTTTTATTCATGGAACTTGTTCCTTTCCCATTTGTTCGTTTGATTGCTAGCTCTCCCTAATCGTGTGTGCGGTTTCCTGATCTGGTTCTAGCGATTGCTAGCCTAACTTGTTAATTTTTTTCGAGCTCATGTGTTTGTGTGTGGAGATTCGCATCGTTTCATTTACTCACGGTAATCATTGTCGTCGCTGCTTTCCGTATCGGCACAGAAGCATACCTTTGTCGGAGTGTGGTCGGCAAAGTAGCAGCCTATTCAAACGGTGGTGGTGTTGCACATTGCACCCCGGACTGGTATGGTGCGGAATTTACCAATCGAACCCTCGAATTGGTACTGAACTAGCGCTAGCGCTCTGCCGGGGATCAGTTAAACGGTGTCTCCCTTCCGAATTCTCCCCTGAACCGGGAACCTTGACGCTGAAGCGTGGTGTCTAGAGAACGCGATTTAATTCCTCGATTGCGGTGTGCCGAGCAAAGCCATCTATAGCTAGAAGCGAAGCGGTGCAAACTCCAATCTGCACAAAACGATCCTACACAAAAAGCCGTAGAACGGCTGTTCGACACATTTCAGATACATCTCCACACAAAAGACCAGAGTTGCGATCTATCACAATCACTATCGTCAAACAGCTGATGGTAGTAACGCTTGGTATACATTCCTATCAATTTGTTTGTCGAAGCAGCGATAGTCGGTTGATGCGTTGACGAGTGTCGCGTGAGTGTCATGATATTTTGCATCACTGCAAAAGACATTATTCACCTTAGCTTTCTACGAACTTTGCACACACAATAAGTGGACCGCACGGAACTTCTAACCTACAGTTTACACTCTACAGGCTAACGGAAAGGAACAAAAATGTAACATTAAATTCGGTCTTTTAGACTCCTCACATACCACGAAAAACACACCGCGACACTAACTACACTTAAGGCCCAAGCGCAATGACGGCGGAAGCGGAACGGCAACGGCAGCGGAAAAGCCCGATCTGAGTAAGCCTACTTGTCGGATTGGAAACTAGTTAGATCCAAATCGACTTCGGTTAGGCATCTTGATGTCATTAGTGACAACTGTAAAACTTTCCGTTTCCGTTCCGCTTCCGCCCACATTGCGTTTGGGCCTTTAAGTACTATCTACTCGCACTCCCTCCTCTTCCACGGTTCAAGTCAAAGTGAACAAGTAGAAGTTCCAGAACCCTCAGATAGGTGTGAATTCAACGGTCATCGTGGCCGGAAGTACGTCAAATTACCGAAGTAATTCAACAACCTTTCAAACGACAATTTTCATTATCTTTCTCTGTAACCATTCAATGCTACATCTCTTTCCTTATCATGTAATTTCAATATACTATCTTGCTCAAATCTATTTTCGGTTACTCTTTTATACGAGAGAACGAGCGAGAGAACGGTTCGGATTCGAACCCCGGACTTTAACTAACAGGTAGCGTATTCGGGTCAAATGGAGTGAATTAGCTGAACTCTGTATCGGGAACTCGTTGGTTTTTGTATGACAAGTGTAACTATATATAAGTGGACGTACATTCCTTGACGGTGAATACATTTATGAATTTAATTGTAAAAAAACGAACGTTCACATATAGTTAAATGTGAAAATTGTATAATTAGGAATTCTGTGCAAATAAATAACTAACTAAATAAATGGAAAAGCGTACTTGTTACAACAGCAGTCATGAAAAACCATCATCTTGTTGCAACCGAGCAGTTCCACGCCAACTGACCAAACGATTTTACTTTTCCCTCTCCGAATTTTATGCAACTTCGCATAATTGTTCACTTGGGAAAATGAACCAATTCTGTACCAGTTATCGGCCTTTTTGACTCACGCTAAATTTTTCAAAATGGCGTATACGATATTTTTCAATAGATCATAGCACGAAAACAAAGTTGTAGGAAACTGAATTGCCGTTTCAGAAAAAAATACAGTTCCCGCACTTGTTTTCCTGTAACATTCTGTACAGCAAAAAGCAGAAGTATGTTCCCGCAACTTACAAAAGTACTGGAATAGACCTAATGGATACTTCAAAATTGACCAAAATCGTAGAACATCAAATATTAGTACAAATTTTGAGTTTTGTTTTTATGCAGAAAAGATATTTTTTATTCCACAAAATCGTTTCCTATGCTCAATACACACAAATATTGTGTGAAAAGAATGTTCAAAAATTTTACTAAAAGTTTAAGTTCTACAATTTTGGTTAATTTTGAAGTGTTCATTGTGTCCATTTTAAAATAGGGGTATTAAAGTTTTTACCCGTTTTTTTTTAATTTTTTTTACAAGAATATGTAATTTTTTATCAGTGAAAAAACGTATATGCGTGAAACACGCATAACTTTTCCAAATGACGTATTCGATATACCTATTTCAATAAATCATAGCAGGAGGACGGCTCATCTAATCGAAATGACGTCTGAGACAAAGTTGTAGCAAACTAGATTGCCTTTTTAGAAAAAAATACACACAGATAAAAAAAAATTACAAATGGCCGAATTCCAGCACAAACTTGGCTCACCCCTAGCGATCAATTATGCTAACTTTTATGCAATTCTGAGATGAAAAATCCAAAATAAGTTTATTTTTTTTTTTGCATTTGGTCTGGAGATCGTCGCGAATCACAGGTTGGGAATCCCAGAGTGTATTCTACAATGTAGCGGATCGACCTACCTTGTAGTTGTTCTTAGCCTTACAGAAGATCACCTTCGCCGTTACTGTGAACGGGACATCCGGGTAACTCACTTCCGATCCCAACAATAGCAGCGATACATCTCCGGTCGACGATGAACCGTCCTGAACAACCGTAGCCTGCAAGCTCTTCCCGCGGTAGGTCAGCGTGAAGTTTTGCTCCTGGCTGGCAGTTCCATTCCGATCAATCCCAACCACTTGGAAGGTATAGATGACTCCGGATACCAACTCTTCATTGAGGATACTTATCTGGTTACCATCCGAGATCGTTTCCCGCTCTTTTTGAAGCCGTTTCTCCAGTTTACGAATACTTTCCCACAGATTCAGTGTGTGCCGTTGGCTAACGAACCCATTCAACAAACTGAATTGAACCGTCACGCTATAATGCAGCTTTTGACCACCCTTTGTCTGCAGGCTGCATCCGTAGTTTGAGAAACAGGAGAAGAAGCGATTAGTATTTTCACCTACTGACATTACGTACCACCTAATAAGAGTGCTGTAGCGTGTGATGGCGAAGTGAAAGGTGCGTTCCTTGCGTGTAACTATAACTATTAACCGGTCATGAATAAATCAAGGAGGTCATAAAATCGATAAACTGCTGCACAGTGCATGTGTGGGAAAGAGTTGTTGCACAATGAATGAGAAGATTTTTTTTCAAGCAAAAAGGATAACCCGATGGTGATCTGCTGAGGTACTGCACTTCCAGTATCGCTAGTATTCTCAGGTTTCGGCTGTCCACAGATGAACTCCGGCGCTAATATCCGAAAACTGGGCATTTCCTGTGAATATTAATCGATTTGAGCTTCTCCCATACAATTATTTTTGATTTCAAATTACTTACACCAACCGCACTTCTAACGTCCACAAGCATTAAAAATGCCAAAATATCAAAATATTTCAATCGTCTCTTCATCGTTTGATTTCTCAATTCAAAACACACTTGGCTATCGATTTTCTACCGCTTCTGCTCACAATAACTGCAGTAGCCCCTGCTCTGGTCAAGCTTCCATACCGAACTGTAGTGGCTGGACAGTTCGCGTTCGATGGTGAGAAACCCATCACCCGATGATTGTTTTGGTCTGGGAGTCTAGGTGGTAACGTGCCCCGTCCTTCCGTCGCATCGTTACAATAAATAAACGAGTGGTTAACACGCAAAAGCCGAGTACCTCCATGCCCCACTCCCGACTAAATCGTCCAACGTATAGGGGGAGAAGAAAGAACGCTTCCGGCAGCATGAAGGACACGTGAACTGTGACGCAACGGCTACCTGTTTGAATGTTATTGATGGAACTACCAATCATTTAGCTGTTTATTTGAAAACGATTCGATGCGATATTTTGTTAATCTTCAAGAAACTTCGGGGTTTGAAATCTTTAAAAAAAAATCTTAGATCCCCTCGGTGGGAATTTGTATGGGAGTGAGCTGTCAGTTTGTTATTTTAGTGTCAAACAGTGTGAAAGTCTATGGGTTTGAAATAAATTGGCGTTGACGGCGACTCTGTAGCTCTTCACTCCTATGAGAAAATCCATAAGCAAACGTCAGACTGTGCGTGAAACATGGCGGACTTTGTACTATCCTTTCACTCCACCGAAAATTCCCATAAGAAACTGTCTATATTTGCTGAAAGAGCAAATTTTTCGACGGTGCCGTCAACGCCAATATCGTTGGGTTCGAAAAACAAAGCTCTTTCTTATTTATTTATTAATTTGTCTGCATCAACAGATGATTTAAGTAACTTGTATAGGTAGATCAAATAATAAAAATTTAAAATTAATTATATAAATAAACCACACGATCATACACGGTTAACTGTGCCAGAAAAGAACGATGAGATGTATCTTCGTAGCAGCTGTCGAGACAGATGGGAATTGAAGATACTCGAAACTCGATTGAACACTCGTTGCAGCACATCAATTGCAGCGTTCATGCCATAGTTTGTGCGCTGAAGTGGCAATCTCAGCATAACGTTGTTACGTAGCACACGGTTAATTTTGACTTGCTCCAAGATTTCAGGAGCAGCAATCAATTCTATTTCTACCTTGTAAAGTGTCCGTGATGAACAGGGCTCTAGAGGTATCTCTTCTAGTTCGGAGAGGCTCCAGATCAATCAGCTGGCAACGACTTTCATAGCTGGGCAGATGAAATGGGTCTCTCCAAGGCAGCTTCCGCAGAGCGAACCGAAGAAAACGGCGTTGAACGGACTCAACTCTCCCAACTCTCTCAGCACCATCAAGGGCGTAGCCTGAGTGTCGAGAGGAATATTTTTAGTATCGTGCAAAAGGCTACTACAGCATCGGATGCGTGGAGCAAGCTGCAGAAATCGTTTCAAGACAACGGGCTAATCCGAAGATTCGGTTTGCTGGACAAGCTGACCGGAGTGAAATTGGAAAATTGTAGCTGTGTTGAGGACTACGTTGACGAGCTTGTGTCCATCACGAATGATTTGAGCGAGATCGGATTCGAGGTCAACGACCAATGGTTGGCGTCACTGTTGATAAAAGGACTACCGAAATACTACAACCCAATGATCATGGCTTTGCAATCATCGGGAATCAAGTTGACCGCGGATCTCGTTAAGGCAAAGGTACTTCAAGATGTGCAGTGGCCGCTGGACTGTTCTGGCGAAGGAGCATTCTTTACGAAGCAGAAGTCGCGGCATCCGAAGAGTGGAGCAGATAAGAAGGAAGGTACGTGCTTCAATTGTAACAAACCTGGGCATTACGCGGCCAAGTGTCCCCAGAAACAAAGTTCATCAAAGTCAAGAGGGAAGGCTCTGTGCGCTACGCTGGCGGTTGGTCATGGAAAAGAGGAGAGTGGTACTTTGACTCCAGAGCCACTTCGCATATGACGAGGACGATGAAAAATTTTGTGAAGCAGGAAACTTTTGTACACTCTATCGAAACGGCAAACAACCAAAGCGTGAATCAACATCGAGAGGTCTGGTGAAACTGTAGTTGCAAGAAGGTTCAATCGAAGTTCAGGATGTATTGCAAGTTCCAGATTTGGCAACCAACCTTTTTATCGGTGAGCCGAATATGTAAGAAAGGGCTGAGTGTAATTTTCACGGCTGAAACTTGCGAGGTTCGTGACGAGGATGGTGATGTTATCGCTTCTGGAATGGAGACCGGAGGCTTATACCGACTGAACACGAAGAGACCGGAATCCTCTTACTTGATAACTGAGTCCAATATCTGGCACAAGAGGCTTGGGCATTTGAATCAAGGCAGTTTGCGGAAACTTGTCGCGATGGTTGATGGCATGGATTTGAAGAATGAACTGAAAGTGGACTGCGTGGCATGCGCAAAGGGTAAGCATGCTCGAGACTCTTTTAATTCTTGTTCATCCCGAGCAGAAGGTCTGCTAGACCTTGTACACTCCGATGTGTGTGGTCCAATCGAAGAAGCCTCGTTTGGAGGGCACCGTTTCTTCGTTATCTTCGTCGCTGATGCGAGTCGAAAGGTTTTCGTTTATTTCCTGGAATCAAAGAGCCAAGTAAAGGATGTTTTCGAAAGGTTCAAGGCCATGACGGAACGGCAAACTGGACGAAAGTTATAAATATTGCGATCTGACGTGACGTGATCGCTCGTGGAGAAGGCGCGGAGTATGATCAATGATGCGGGACTGTCGAAGAAGTTCTGGGCGGCAGTAATCTCAACCGCCGCGTATTTGTTCAACAGAAGTCTATCACAAGCGCTGCAGATGATGACACTAGAAGAAGCGTGATCCAGAAGGAAGTCGAATCTAAACCATCTGAAGATATTCGGTTCCAAGGCGATGGTCCATGTGAAGATTCAAAATCCGTGGAAGGCATTTTTGTCGGGTACGCGGAGAATTCGAAACGATACCGGATTTATCTTTCGGAAAACGATAGCCAGTCGAGATGTGATCATTATCAACGAAGGTCGAGCAGTGATGTCAACCAAGAAGCAGAAACCGGTGGACTTCATGGAAATTGTCACCTGGATTGATGAAGTTTTCGATGTACCGCAGCAACCAAACGTCGAGAATACTATCCCAGAGGAGCAAGATACGGAAGGACCGACTGAGCCTGATGATCTGATGGAAGGTCCGTCTAACGCTTGTACGGTTTCTGAGATTGAGCATACTGATTCGTTGAAAGGTCCGTCCAACGCCAACTGGAGAGATGTGCCTGCATCAGTGCTCCCACCGCAACAAGATAGACCAGCTGGTAATGAGCAGCGTGTGTTAAGGCGCAGCGGTCGGGAGCGCCAAACCCCAGGCAAGTATTTGGATTTTGTATGTTTTAGTCCATTGTCTGGTCCCGTTATTTCCACACAGTGTGCGGACGAGCATATTGTTGTTGATGATCCCACGAGCTATCAAGAGGCGATGAAGCGTCCAGAACGTGAGCACTGGATTGCGGCCATGAAGGAGGAAATTCAAGTGCTTGAACAGAACGAGACGTGGACGTTGGCTGACTTACCGGCCGATCGGAAGTGTATTCGCAACAAGTGGGTGTTAAAAACGAAGCGTGGACCGGATGGAGCAATTGAGCGATACAAGGCACGTTTGGTGGTCAAAGGATGTTCTCAGCGACCGGGTATCGAGTACGACGAGGTTTATTCGCTGGTGGTCCGTTACTCCACCATTCGATATTTGCAGGCATTATCTGTGAAACACGACCGAGATGTGGAACAGATGGACGCAGTTACTGCATTCCTGCAGGGAAAGCTCAAGGACGAAATCATATATATGGATCAACTTGAAGGCTTCGTGAACAAAAGCGGCAAGGTGTGTCTGTTGCGGAAAGCACTCTGCGGCTTGAAGCAATGCAGCAGGGTCTGGAACAGCCAGCTCGACGAGGCGTTAAAATATTTCGGACTTACACGCTCGGATGTCGATACTTGCTTGTATTTCAAGTAAGAAGGAGGAAAGATGCTTTTTGTGACCATCTATGTTGATGACTTCCTCATCTTCAGCAACGACCCTCAGATGAAAATCAAGCTGAAGAAATTTTCGAATACCCGTTTTAACATGAAGGACATTGGTCAAGCGAAATTCTGCTTGGGACTGAGAATATCCAGGGATAGGCGAAATGGTAAGCTTTGGCTTGACCAGCAGCATTATGTGGAGAGCATTTTCCAACGGTTCAACATGGCGAACTGTTGTCCAGTTTCGACTCCAGCTGAAACTAGCTTGAAGCTCCACAGTAAGATGTCACCAAGCACACCAGACGAAATTCAGGCGATGAAAAATGTACCGTTCAAGGAGGCAGTTGGTTGTTTGACGTACTTGGTGCAAGCGTCGAGGCCTGATATAAGTTATGCTGTCAATCAGGTCAGCCAATTTTGCAGTAATCCTGGACAATGCCATTGGACTGCTGTAAAACGGATCATAGGTACCTAAAGGGCACAGCTGGGCACCGGCTTCAGTATTGCAGAGAGGAAGTTTCCCAATTGGTCGGCTATACAGATGCGGATTGGGGAGGAGATCTCGACACGCGAAAATCGACGAGTGGATACGTGTTCACGTTCATGGGCGGAGCAGTTTCGTGGAACGTGAAACGACAGCCGACAGTTGCACTCTCATCGTGTGAAGCCGAATATTTGTCGCTTTCAAGGACCGTGCAGGAGGCTCTCTGGTGGCAGTATTTTCAATCGAAAATTTTCGGGCAGCAGTCATTTCAATTCGATGTGACAATCAATCCGCTATCTGCGAGGCGCGAAACCAAGGATATAACCCCCGGACCAAACATTTGGGCATCAAGCACCAGTTTGTGAAGGACACTTTGGATCGTGGAGTCATCAACCTTGCGTACGTTAGCACGAAGGAGCAACCCGCCGACGGTCTTACGAAGGCTTTACCGAACATCAAACTGGAAGCTTTCAGAACATTAATAGGACTCGCAGCTTAGGAAGGAGTGTTGTAATCTCAATCTAAGTAATCCGTGAGGTTCGTAGTGACCACTGTTAGTTTGTTAGTCAAATAAAACTTTCATTCGTTTCTAAGCATTCCTCAAGATCAGACGTCTT